TTTTAGAGATATTATAAATATTTGATTAAATATTTATTCGTCGAAAAGTGTACGATGAGAATTTGCATCGTATTTAAAAAAGGAGTTCTGGCAATCAACTGATTGCAACCTTGATGGATTTATCATCAAGCTCAGTTGTAATAGTTCATTTTTCGATCTCATTGCCAGTCGTCTGGTCCGTAGTTCACTGTCTGACTGTGATAATTCGCGCATTTATTTGATAAAGCATGACGAATAACGAGATCTATCGAGACAATTCGCAAAAAAAAATATAATTACATTCTATTCAACTTGCTTTGATTTCATCTATATTTTTATTGTTCCATACTAAAGATCTAACTAATTAGTTACAAATTATATATTTTAATTTATTATACGACACTCAGACAAGACACTCTACTAATCTTCGATTGATCATTGTTCCCTTAACTAATAAAAAAGTCAGTTATCTTGCGACGTTAAGATTCCTAAACGAAATCATTTCATGCAAATATTCGACTTTTTCTATTATATTTTCGCTTATATTATTTTAGGATTTTATATCATTACTAATGGAATTAAATTTTCTGATAAATACTATTTAATTCGAACTTTCAGAAAAGATTCTGAAGAAATTTTTCCACTTCTCCGAATTAATTCATTTAGTACAATGTTCCGCTGCTTATACTTTGAACTACGTACTATCTCATCGATTAGAGCATTGCGATCCACATCGATCCAATGTTCATTTATAAGTAATCTAATTGTTCTCCGAGACATTTGAAACTAGCGGAATTCTAATCGATTATCAGGCTGAGTAGTTGTTACAGATCTTATTGATCTTTTCGAAATAAAAAATATATCGATATAAATCTCTTGGCACGGTTGTTCCTTATTTGAAATTTATATTATTAATTATGAAATTACACAAAAATTCGCAGTCTTATAAGAATCAGTTTGTCGAACATTACTCAATTTGTTCAAGCATGATTCAAACAATTCCAAACCTGTCCAAAATATCAAATAATCTTTATCTTTAATTTTCTTCCTCTGAATATTTGTGCAACAACGTACATTCAATGTATTATGAAAGGTAGAAAGCCACTCATGCAATCTATTGGTCAACGAGTGAGATGTTCATCAATTTTTCTCAAGATCTTCTCGATAACGATCTCACGAGACTAATCTTAACTTATCGTTAAGAAGGTACTTAAGAAGTCGTTAATGATCGTTAAAATTTTGTACATTAGTAATCCTTATACGAACGCTAAGGAACGTTTTAAGAATCTTTTGAAACGACTACTTTATCTCTTTAATCAGACGGATCTACAGATAGAAGCTAAAAAAACACAGAGCTACTATTGATAATACTAATAATTATAATTTCGACTTTTAAATATAACTACATTGAAATTACGAGGAAATATTCATTTACTTGCAGAGATCGTTATTTCTTCTTGCAAACGCTTTTGAGCAAAAGTGTATATAACGCAACATCGATCCCGAGAATATTGATAAAAATTCTAATCACATCAATTCGTAAATAACGAAATATTCCAACAAAACGCCCAGCCGGGAGGACAATCCGGAGCGTAACTACATCGATATCTCTGTCGCCACTTTAATACTTCAAATTTACAACGCAGACATCAGGTGTAAACGAAATTCGATGCCCGTGCGCCAAGAGATAATTAAACGCGAGAGAGCATGGTTGGTTGTCCGGTCTGTCAGTGCGCGTCGCGTTCTCCACTTAGATAGCGGAAAGCGAAAGTGTTGGCGCAAAAATAGAAGAGCAAGTGGCGGGTAATGGTTTCAATATAAAACGACTCGGCTATACTGCAAACCGATTTCGTTTCAATACGACGCGTGGGTCGATTAATCGCGGGCTCGCGATTGCTTTTACTTCGACCGTGACTCTCCGTGGCCAGGTACAGTCCATCCGAAACTGTGGAACAACCGTGCGTTGTATTCCTTTTTAATTAGTCCCAAGCGTGATCGATTCAGTATAACAATCGACTTTGGACGCGTCGAGAGAACTGAAAGCTGTCACTAACAATAATTATAGATGAGCACGCCTGCTCCTTCGAGTTCGAGTTATCATTCGATCGACAATCCTGCAGAAGGTTCTTCTATTATTGCTAAATAATTTAAATCATTCTCGTCTTGAAATAATAATAATTCATCGTCAGAATTGCGGCTCTTGTAGAATCTCTTCAGCGTTTACCTTTGAAAGAAGCCAAGTGATCACAAGCGAACTGGACGCCGCACAGTGGTAAAACTTTTAATTTCTAAACGATAATTATAAGATCATCTTTCAATTAAAATTAATTGAGTTTAGAGATTATATCAATGCACAATTATTTTTTACAATTTTCATTATCCATTGGTAATTAATCAAATGTTTTGAGACTGCAATGTAGTTCTGTTACAAAAGAACATTGGCAAAGAACAGCGTCGACTGACCCGAAAGTCCAGCGTCGATTCCGCGGGCGTTTTGCATTGGATCTCCCACTTTGTTCACCGGAAGTGCTCGTGGCCAATCCGCGAGACAAATCGCTAGGGCTCGCGCGAAATCCCTTATCGATCGTATAAAAGCGAGCGGCGCAGGATATGTCGCCGAGAATCGATTCGATACGCTGGTCAATCCTCGCCAGCGTCAGCTTCCGGATCACGAGAAACTTCTCCGTGGCTGCAGCATCCACCAGAGGATCATCGATCGATCACTCGACGAACCTCCGATATTTTTCACCGGTCGATGTATTCGGTGGCAAACAGAGTATAGCAAGATTCGCGATTTTCAGCCGTCGAACGATTCCGAACGAGATGCCACAGGCAATCGATACCTACTACCCGCGGTAAGTAGCGTAGGGTAATAATTAATCACTATGTTACGACGATACGAGACACATATGAGATGCGTTCCCCATTCGAGTTTGGAAAATCTGATGAAATTTGAAGGATCTTGTTGCAATAAATTTTTATACAAATCCAATGAAACAGTCGTGTTTTTATTAATTCGTCATTCTAGCGAAACAATCTGTGTTTCATGTTAATTTTCATTTGAAAAAAAACGACTGATTGTATATGTTAAATAAATATATTAAATAAATAGACCTTTACAATTAAATTAGCAAGGAAATCGAAAGGGAAGGTGAAATTGTTTGGTCCTTCTTTTAAGATTTTCTTCTGAAATTTACTTTGTTGATTTATCTGGATGATATTTGTGTTTGTAGTACTTACTCTTCTAATTTTCTGATGATAGAAAATGTATCTTGTATCTTGAATAAAATTTCACTTGTACATTTTCTAGCATTGAAACAGTTTTGCACCTAAACATTAATCCACTTACTATTCAAATTCTTTCATAAATATACACGAAATTTCATTCTGTGTTGTATAAGATTTTTTTAAATCTATTTCTCAAAAAGAAATCAATTTAGGTATTTGCATAAAGCAATTCAAACAATAAAGAAGTAGATATGAAAAACTTTAGCAGAGAAACTGCTGCTGTTGCATAATGTTACGATGCAACAGAATCTTCGTTGTGCAATTGTTTATTTAAAATATTGATTTCGACATTCTAGAAAAGTCAAACATTTCTTTTTATCGTCTGCTTAATATTGGGTTTTATCGACAATTTGCAATTGTGCAAAATAAATTTTCTAAATATAGTTCTGCTATAATGTCAACGTAAAATAACTTATTGTTAGCTGATGATACTAATGGAGGCAACGTAAAATACATCAATTGCCGATCTATGACTCCCAAAATCAGTACAGTCCTTCTACATTAACTTATTCATTTTTTTATTATTTTAATTTTTAATTATCTTTTTCATTTAATCTTAATGTTTCAATCCAAATTTCTGCACGGCTTCTCCTGCACCTGTAGACAAATGAAAGTAACATCTAGAATGCTTCTCAAACTTTTACTTTTCTTTCAACGAAAAAGTACACCACAGTGTCTATTTATTTCAAACTATGTTCGTCCAAGCATGAAAAGTTTTTAAATGCAACAGAAGCATGTACTTACAAAGGCAACAGGTTTGCCGGTAAAAGGAAAATGTATATTCTAATGGGTAGTGTAAGGTATGCAGGTAGTACGAAAGCCGCAAAATCATTTTCAACATCATCAGTATAAAATAAATGGGCAACTATCAGGCAGTTACTTTACGAAATAGTGAAATATTAATAGCAATGTGGAAATTTATTTTTCTATACTGATGTGGCAATTAATTTCGTTGACATGCTTTTAGTAGACACTTTACAGAGCCACTTGTTACTCTGATTAAAAGCTAATAGTTTCAGCGTTAAATATAAAATAATTTAATATAAAGTATATAAGAGATTTTAAAGGCATAAAGATATGTAAAATAGTTGGCGAAAAGAGGGATTAAAATTTAAATATAAAATCTATTAAAATATAAAGTGTTGAATAAACTTCATTTTATTCTCAGAGTGTCCACACTGGTCTCCAACGTGGCGAAAAATCCATCCATCAACAACAATTACGAATATATAGGAAAGATACCTTTGTTAAATAGTCTGATAAAACCGCTACCCCCAAAAGTTTGTTCATATATCGAAGAATGTGCATCCCTTTGCTGTCCAAAGGACATTTATATTTGCGATGGAAGCGATACAGAATACGACCATCTATTGAATTGTCTGGAAAATAATGGGACAATATCGCCTTTACCAAAATATAGAAACTGGTAAATATTTACTTCATTCATATAATTGATTTCAGGAAATCATAGTTGAATAAATAACCTTCTAGTTATTTTCAGTATCTCGTTCTTTGGTCTTTTGCCAGCATTACCTTAATAACGAGTGTCTTCTAAGATTCTGAACACACAGAATTAAACATACATGTTTTGTAATTTCAAAGTTTAAAATACAAATAGTATAAATAGAAGGACGTTGGAATGATACAAATGTTTCAAACAATAGTTATGACTTTGACATGTGGAAATTTTACTTTTAGTTGGCTTGCTAGAACAAACCCGGCAGACGTAGCACGTGTCGAGAAACGCACGTTTATCAGCACCGAATGCAAACGCGATACTATTCCTATACCGCGCGAAGGTGTCATTGGAGAACTGGGTAACTGGATTTCTCCGAGAGACATGGACAAAGCCATTCTTGA